GTATTATTTATAATTAAAATATAAAGTTGAGAACTTATTTTAGTAAAAAGAACTTAGTTCCTTTATATTTCTATATATCTTTTCTTATAATCTATCTCTCATTATCCGGTCCCTAGTATTATGCCACTGCACTTTGTGTTCCTAGGCTATCAGTCTTAAACACTTTCGATTGGTATACAGAGTCAACAAAGGGACATTGGTATTGTAGCGGGCGCTTTCCTCCGTGGCTCCCTAGTGCCGGTTAAGCACCAATCTTGTAGAACTTGTCCGCGAACTCTGCTTCCAGCAACTCGAATGCCCTCAAGACCTGCCTTAATCCACATCCATTATCAAACTCGGACTGTATAACAACTGGATCTTTAGATGCAGATGAGCCAACAAGATACGAACCTAGCATGGACTCTTCAGACTCAGATGCAGATGCGTCGCTCTCGTCCTCCCAGCTATCGGGAACCTCAGCCTTGACCTTATTCTTTGCTGACGCTTGGGCAATCTCCTCGGATGCTTCATCTGGCTTCTGTACCTCAAAAGCCTTCGGAATAGCCTCGCCATCTCCTTGGCTCGTGTCACTCATATTGTCATCACCATCAAGATCCTCCATGTCGAAGCCGCCTCCTGAATAAATGACGCCCTTGAGGCTGGTCACGATCGTCTTGAGTACGAGGGAAAAGTCCTTTAGATGAAACCATACATCGCCCCGTTTGATGAGGTTGTCGCGCACCAGCACTTTCAAGCTTCCGTGCTTAAAGAAGTCATAGAGATAGGCGTTTAGCTCAACGGTGGTATCGACTGGCCAGATTGGGAGGTAAGGGATGGAAGACTCTTCTAGAAATACCCCATCTCTCACTGTTGAACACAACTCTCCGATTGAGTTAAACTCATCCGTGAATCCAGAAAGTGCCACAAATGGAGACCGGATGACCGGTGGAGGGTCGCTTGTCAGACTGCACCCGCGCCCTTCCTCTGGTCCAATCGGAATTCTTGTCAGTGGAAGTGTGCGGTCTGGTGAGTCATGCAGATGTGTATTGATGTAAGAAGATACATAGTCCTTGAAGGTTAAGAGGGTTTCCCGATTATGCCGGACAAGTAGTCGCTCTGCGGCAACTGGCAGTCGTTTGAGGAAGATATCAGATGAGGAGCTTTCGACAACTTCTAGGGTCTTTGCAGTCCGCTGAATAGGGATTCTGTTGAACAAGTGGCTGAGCACCAACATCATCTCGCGAAGCACTCTCTCACGGGCGCAGTCAATGTCCTTGCATAACTTGTGAAAGTAGCCACCGCGCAGCAGCGAATGAAATGCAAAGACGGCGTTCTCCGTAAAGTATAAATGACCTACAAGTCCCGCGAAGTGAATAGGCTCTCCGTTTACCGAGAGAAGGTTCTGGCGTCTCAGGTATTCAATCGAGAAGCGCAGGTGGTGTTTGACTGTCATTTCGGCATCTGGTCCTCCCAGGTATAGGCGGGTTTGTGATAAGAGAGATTTGACCGCGTTGACGGCAAATTCATTGCTGTTCGTTCCGCTCAAGAGGACAAACAGACGAAGGATAAGTGTAGTTGAGATTGGGAACTGCCCCTTAAGAGCAGGTAGCCGAGAGGACATAATCTCGTGCACCCGATCTCGGTTGATACCGTTAAAGACGACATTTCCAAGCAGATCGAACCCTCGTCTTCCAGCGCGGCCAGAAGCCTGGCGATAATTCTGGGGAGACAGAAACATAGAGTCCCCGCTGAAGACGACTGTCTTGCAGGGCATGTTAATGCCAAGCGCGAGGGTTCCAGTTGCAACAACTAGTCGGATGTAGCCCTTGCGGAAGAGCATCTCTACACTGCATTCAGTTAGGTACAATTCCTCTCTTCTCACCTCTAGGGCGCGGATTAGATCTGGAATGGACAAGGAGATTGAACTTACATCCGGCGGTACTGGAGGTTCATGCCGGCATGATGAACACCCAATCCACGTCGAAGGGCATCGATCAGCCACGGCTGGACTTTCTTCGGGTTCAGTCGAAGCAGCAAATCGTCAAGGTCTTTCTGCTGCATCATCTTGGCGTTCGCGAAGCTGAACTGGTCTAGAGGGGCCTCGGGGTCGAAACTCTCCCAAGGGCTGATCTCAACACTCCCCTCCTCGCGGGCCATCTCAAGCTTTGATGGATTCCGCTCCCCACCTTCCGAGCATCTGAAGGATCGAACCTCTCTATTACTTCCTTTCTGCCGTTGCCACTGTTCAAAGTCCCGGAGCTTCTTCTTCCAGGTAGTGTCACTTCCCTTGAATGCCGTTTCAGCGTCGTTCAGCCTAGAAAAGATGCTTCTGACAGCCCTTTCACACTCGGAGCGGTCGTAGTTAAAAACAAGAGCTGGCAGGGCGTCCTGTGCGTGGAGCTCACATGCCAAAGTAAACAGCCTACCAATATGATCAACAGTATCTGATATTTTGCAGTGTTGGATCTTGGAGGTCCTTTCATTCTGGACTGAGGGGTCAATGCTCTCTTGCAAGAGGTAGAAGTTAGATCCCGAGTTTTCCATGGCCTCTTTCAACTTCCTCTTCAGGCGTTTCTCCCACTCAACAATATGAGACTTTTCAATGACCCCGGGCAGGACTTTGAGAGGGTCAAGTTTGCTTTGATTTCCGAGGAGTTCTTTCGGGAAAGTTTTCTGCATATTGTTCCACAAAGTGAGGCAATCTCTAGCCTCCAGAGTGACATCATCTAGCGCTGCAATGTTTCTATTAACAGATCGGTCAGTGCCTACTCCCGGCTTTGGCATCAGGGATCAAACTCGCCTATCTTTGAGGGCTACTACAGGGTGCACAAACTTGAAGTTTGGGCTAATGCTGTCACCCTCGTCGAGACCTGGCACAGGGAGTCTGGAAACCTTTGCGAGTCCCTTGAAGCTAAAGTTATGCGGAGGCTCGTAGATGAATTTACGAAGATCAGAGTATCGGACCTCATGCACAATCATCTTCATTTTAAACCCCTTTTGTGCCTGTAATCTGGAAAGCCAGTCCTTGAGCTCGTTCGGATTTCCAACCGTCGCCGAGAGGGCAATGATAGGACACGGCGCAAGCAAGAGCAGCTGTTCCCAGATGATACCATCTTCAGCCTGTCCGATGCAGTGCACCTCGTCAAATATGATTCTCTTGACACGCCGTGACCATGCAGTTGGGATGTTGGCGTTTGTCGGGGCCAGGAGCATGATTTGCAACATGTGAGGCACTGTAACCAAGATCTGGCACCGAGTAGGATTGTTGATGCGGTAATCGCGGGTATGGATTGCCCAAACGGATTTGCCATCCGGCGTCCTGAACCTTTTAGAGAATCGGGCCTCGATCTCCGCCGCGATCTGGTTTACTAGGGCCTTTGTGGGAGCGACGTACACCAGGACTCCATCGTCGCTCTCCTCAAGTACTCTCTTCATGGCGTAGAAGGAGATGAAGGTTTTTCCTGCAGACGTTGGAGCCACAACCAACAAGCTTTCTTCAGCATCAATTGAGTCGAGAATATCCCGCTGCCAGGCATCTGGTTCAAAGGGCACTCGTGCATCGGGTTGAGAGTCAAATCGCCTATCCATATAAGGGCCCCCATGATGAAGCTGAAGAAGTCGATGATCCTGGATAAGTTTCGGCGTATCTTTCATCATAATCCAAGGTGAGATATTGAAAGGCAACTTGCGATGTGGCTCCTGGACAGTGATGCTCAGCTGGCTTATCGCAAGGGTTTTCATGATCCCTTTGGCGGCACTTGCAACGTCTGGTGTACACTTGTCCGATCTCGAAATGTCCCTCAGCCAGTTCCATACCATAGAAATAAGGTATAACCCTAGGGATATTAGCAAGAACCCCCCAAACACACACAAACGTAAAAGAAAAGTCGTTCTAGTGACTGGGTTTGGAACTGACCTCTGAGGGAATTCTCATCAACCTGTTTACGCGTTTGGTCCCAGATTCTCCGAAGTATGTGACAGAGATACAATAATATTTCTGGCTTGACAGAAATATGGGTTCCAGGGGATCCATCAGATAGAAGATCCAGAGCCTTAAGATATTGGTCAACTGGATTTTCAGTCTTTTCAATCTCGGCGCATTTCATGGCCCAGAGGCGCAAGGCATCGTTTTGCTTCGCTAGTGCTTTCTTCTCATTCAACGCACGTGCTGCCAGGAGTGCCTTCTTTTTGCCACCTCGGAGAGATTGATCGCCTACCGTTGACTGCCTTCTACTGTTAGTGTCTGCATTCAGTTCAGTGGGAGCCGACTTTTGTCCCACGACAATAGTTTCTCGCATGAAAACGTTTCCAATAGAGTTGGTTAGACTGGCTGCGTACAAAATGACATCTGCCATTTGCCTTTGATGTCTCCTACGCCTGGAATTCTCCACCCAGACGGGGACTTTGTCGCGTGTCATTCTTGTACTAGTAGTGATTGGTTTGTAAGCATGCCAGTGCCGAAGATCCTGGAAGACAACTTCAGCAACTGGATCGACATCATCTGGCACTTCTTTGACCGAGACATCCTCAAGAAACTCCTCTAGTACTGGGTGATTGAACGATAAAACAGTGGGAGTCGAGTGGGGTGGCACAGGAGGTAGGTTAGTCTCCGATGCTTTGAGAGACATGAAAAGGCTTCGACCATTCATACTCCTCTGCCCAAAAACCGTCGCCGAAAGAACTTTTGCTCGGTCAGCAATAGCCATAGGAAGCTCAGATCCATCCCGTAACGCTTGGAGAACGTAAGAGAAGACGTGGCCGTCGAATAGATCAAATAGATCCCACTCAGCTTGCCCTCTCACAGCGTATCCATTCTCTGCCAAGGTTTGGGACACCGTACAAAACAGTTGTACAAAGTCGGTGTCGTAGCTATCCACAGCGTTTTTAGAGAACCTCTCTGGATGGGTATTTCGGTTTTGAAGATGGCAGACCTTGAGAGTAGCCATGTGAAGAAGCAGCGCCTCTACAAGCTCGAGGTCACGGCCAGATATCTCACCTTCCTTTGAGCATCGTACAAGGAAAACGCGGCAAAAGACAGCAGCGAACTTTTCTCTCGCTGAAAGATCCGAGGTTACGATTGAGAGTCTTAGCGTCTCATCGAGTACTTCCCGGGAAAGCTCCGCCGATGGTTTCGTCTCACATGAGGTAGCATCGACATGGACATCTGGCAGCACACCCTTCGACCCACTCAGGAGGGGCATGAAAACCTGGCCGCATTAGCATTTACACAACCTTCTGATTCAAGTTAATCGGGCTCACTTTTGAACTCTTCCATGAGATTGAGTTGATGATGGCAACGTTCCTCCCACTGCTTATGACCTTCCATATAAGATGTTGGAGGCGAATAGACTGGTCCAGGCTTGCTCCCCTTCCATCATCGCAGAGCATGAAATGTATTGCATTGTTAGCTAGATACATTCTACACTCTTGACTTTGAAAGGAATCGAATTCCAGAATCTTGAAATCAACGACGTCTCTGGTAAGATGCTGGATGAGAATCCGGCGTGTGAGCTTGAATTTGTAGGGATGTTTCGAGCCGGCACTACCCTGAGACGCGTAGACATCTTCAGAGTCACGAAAGAACACTAGATCAAAATTGCAGTCCCTATTCTTTAGATCGACAAGGAACTTCTCCACAGCATGGATGGCGTGCAACAACTGGAATCCTCCTATCATGGTCTGTCAGGCGCTATTGCAGCAAGTCAAGCGAAATGGAGGAACCTACTCTCAAAGTCAACGCTGGCCTTGATGAGGCAATACTGCATCAAGGCCTCTCCATGGATTAAGAATAGCTCTCGGCCGGCAAAGTCTCCCACAATATCGACTGTGAGCGGCTGTAAGTCTTTGTACCAGTCCAAGAGCGCCTCCTCGGATGACTTCTTGTCTGTTGAAGCCATGACGATATCTTCGGCTGTTGTATCTTGGTAATTATTTCTCTGCAATTGGCAAATGTACGAGAATTGTCGATTTCTAAAGTTGTAGGCGAACGATGGGTTGATGCAACATGGGGGGAGTGTTAGCATTCATCCCGGGAGGCCCACCACAGGGAGACAGCACATACCAAGACACTAAGATTCCGACCTTGGCTGCCAAAGTCTGCCTGTTGAGAACTAAATCGGCGGAAGGCTATCCGATTGGCCCGACTACAAATTCCAAGAACAGAAATGGACATAATGAGGCCTGCTATATAGAGATTGGTGGGCTCAATACATAAAGATCAACCAACATCAATGTAGAGCACGCTAGCCCCCACGGGATGAATGGAGAGATGTCCGACTGCGACAAAAGTCAGATATGAGAACAGATTACAGGTAGGGCATAACCGCACAAAGAAAGTCCTGTTATGCATACCAAATATGACTAATGGTAGTCCGTATAGTGGCGGTTTCTTTTGGTGCGGTAGATGTGCTATTCATGTTGTCTCCTTTCCCTTCTCTTGAGAAAAGAGTAGTCACATTACTCCGTATGAGTCATAAAAATGCGATTGTTGGTTGCGCAGCCGCACTTGGCAGAATCACAAGGGAAGCGGCTACATATTTTCAATCCCCATGGATGACTAGTACTCAGGTTCCATTACACTGCTGTACGAATTACCCTGCGTGTCAGGTCCTGACACATTATTTGATGGTTCATTCCGTCTATGGTTTGCCGCAGAGCAGCGCGGGGTACCAGGGCATGTAGGACTAAAGGTTGTAAGTATGCGTCAATAATGATCTGATCGGATGGTCGAGATAAGGGTCGAAATAAGCAGGGAACCCGCGATTGCGCCACTCTCAGTGTGGGGTTATCTCTCCACCTGTGAGAAAACACTGGAATTATTAATACCATAGCTTGGCAATCATTGAGATAACCAAAGCCAGCATCTACATGGATAACCTGACTTGTAGAGATATCTAACTCCACGACTTCAATTTTTGCAGTACATGCTCAGAGGAGAGACAGGTTCCAGGTATGTGAGCACCGTCGGCGGTATAAAACTCGGTTTGGCCATCAACTACTCGGCAAAAAGGGTTGATAAGCAGTGTTGGTCGGCCTCCTGCATGGCTGGCTGACCCTGATAGGACGTTGGTTTGCTGTGGCGCTTTTTCAAGTCACCCATGGCCTGGTAGCAAGGAACATAAGAATATGAGGACACCCGCATCTGTCAAATAAGACATCTCGCAGGAACCTGATCATTTAGTCCCCAACATGGGAAACATTTTTGGACGTCAGACGGAGACAAGACCGCCGCCTCGTGAGCTACCTCCCATATTGGCGGCAACAAGACAACCATTGTACCATGAAAGAGCTCATGCTTACGAGGACATGTTCCGGAATCGTGGGGTGCCACAGATCCAGCACCCTCGTCCTTGCTTATTTTATGCTCGTGGAACATGTTTCCGGGGAACGGCCTGTCGATTCTTGCACGAAGGTACTGTGAATACAGCTTCGACAAAGAACTCTCAAAAGCCTTGCCGTTTCTTTATGCGTGGTCATTGCAGGCGTGGAGAGGCCTGTAACTTCTCCCATGAACAATCCTCAGTGCATGAATCGACAGAGGCGATAAAGGTACGTATTTTATCGCCAGTCAATCGGAAATCTAGGGCAAATTGGCTGATGCGAAACAGGATGATGACTATACCGAAGGTTGGGTTCGTGGGCTTGGGGGCGCCTGGGTCAAGTTCGGAGACGGAGCGGCAGTCGTGGACGTCTCACTACCTTCAGACTTCTCCGCCATTCGAATACGCAATCTTCCGACCAATGCATCAGCAAAATCAGTCAGAGCGTTGCTCTCTGAAGTTGGTATTTCCGTACTAATAAGCGATATACAATATATCAAACCTAAAGATATGCCAAATGGCTTTGCAATTGTCAAAGTTAAAGACCCGGCATTTGGAAAGACCGCATGTTCGCGACTACAGACCTGCATTGAACCCCCAGGTCTAGTCGTCAACTCGATACGTGTTCCCATCCCTTCAGGATTCCAATTTGGCCAGGTTGACAACAGACAAGTTCGTTGTTCATGGCATCGACCCACCAGAACATTCAGTCTGTACTTTCCAGACAAGAAAGTTGCAAGCAGATCATTCTATAAGTTCAAAAGCGGAAAGTATAAAATCGACGGCATGAAAGCCACGGTTCAGTCACCTGTTGCAGAGGATCCCGCTCAACAGAATGGGAGATGGAAGATCGATCTAGTTGGACTGAGTGCTGGCCTTACGGAGGATGATATCGCTTCCGTCTTTACTTCATTTGAAAAGCCTTGTCAGATTGCTATCGGAGACCTGAGTTATGAGATGGACCCGGAAATGGATTCGACCTTGGTCAAGTCAATGCTGTACGAGAAGGGCGAATTGGAAAAGTGGAACGTTTTTGACAGTTCTACCGCCAAACGGATCAAAGCCCAAGCAACCTTTGTGGAAGAATGCCATGCGCAAGTTGCCGCCTCTTCCCTCGATGGAACAGAGTTACCATTCAACCACAACGGGAAGCTTTTCGTCCAACTCATTACTTCCGTCAAGTTCAAGGTATCAGCCCGCGTTTACGATGCCGTGAAGAAGACAATTGATGCACGCAAACCCGATTGGGATCTGCAGTTCATACGTTATTCCGCCCTCCCTGAGCGCGGATTTCACCGAATTCTGAAGATCGAGGGTGAAGATCGTCAGCTAGTCGCCCAGGCCAAAAGAGATTTGGAAAAAGTCATTACTGGCACTGTTTTGACGATGGGCGGAAAGAATATTTGGTACTCTAACCTCAAGATCAGCAAGAATGCTTACAGGAAGCTTCAGAAGATCGAGCGAGGCCTTGAGATCGTTATCATTCGCGATATACGAGCCTCAAACTTCCGCGCTTTTGGCCCTGAGGAACGGGTAGCACAAGCTGCTGAGGCCCTGCAGCAACTCATCGACGAATTAAAAGCAGGCGGCCATGCTATCAAGAAAGCAGTTTCTCCAGTCAAAAGACAACAACTTGAGACAGATTGCCCAATATGCTTTGACGAAGCCGAGGAATCACTGCGTACTTCCTGTGGCCATACCTATTGCGGTCTTTGCTTTTTCCAAATGTGTCAAGCCGAAGCATCAAACCCGGGTAACTGCTCAATCAGCTGTATGGGGGACTCTGGAAAGTGCAGAAAGGTCCTTGAAATCTCAGAGATTCAGGCACTCATTCTCTCTGAAACATTCGAGAACATCCTTGAGGCCTCTTTTGCCTCATTCATACGACGTCACCCAGCTGAATTCCGGTATTGCCCAACGCCGGATTGCGATCAAGTCTACCGAGTCTCTTCCCCAGGAAAGCTTCCATCCTTGTTTACATGTGCCAGATGCTTTATCCCTACTTGTACAGCCTGTCACGTGTCACACCTAGGCATATCCTGTTCAAAGAATAAAGGCAATACTTCTGATGATATCGAGGAGCTCATCAAAGCTAAGGAGGATCTGGGTGTGAAAGATTGTCCCAAATGCACTACAGCTATCGAGAAATCTGAGGGATGCAACCATATGACTTGTACAATTTGTCAAACGCACATCTGCTGGGTGTGTATGGCAACGTTCACAGAGGATAGTGATTGCTATACACACATGAGGCGGCTTCATGGCGGCATTATGTAGTATACTCTAGTCTAGTTTATTACTCTAGCTCGGTCTGGCATGCTAGCCCGCACGGGGTGAATGTGAAGATATCTAACTATAGTAAAAATCAGATATAAGTATAGATAATAAGTAAGGTATAACGATAAAAAGAAAGCCCTATTATATATATTAAATATCACTAATAGTAATTTATATAATAGTTATTTCTTTTAATATAATAAATATACTATTCTTATTATTTACTATCTTTTCTTTTAAAAAAAGAGTAGTTATATTACTTTATATAAATTATAAAAATATAATTATTAAATATATAGCTATATTAGGTATCAGTAATAAGGGAAGTGACTGTATTTTCTTAATCCCTATAGATAATAAAGTAATAAAGTAAGCCTATGCCTTATTAGCCTAATATCTGCTTATTTAAAGCGGAAGCGTTAATAACTACATAAAGCATGCTTCTTGAGAGTTGTTTGCCTTGGCTAATTGACCCAATCTATCTTTGCCAATAAATTGAAAACTAATTGCCGATCACAACTCAAGCAATCGCCGCATTGAAGCCGACAAGACAATATGCTAAATTTTAGAGTCACGGGGAACCGATTAGAGTTAGTCCCTGCAAAGCATGGTCTGAAGCCAGTAGTGCCCGAAAAGTGAGAGCAGCGTGTCCGCGATTACTGATACCCAGGCCCTTGACATAACTTTCCCAGCAACATTAGTGAGACCAATCAAAAGCCAAGTCAGCCCCTTGTCAAAACCGAGTCTACCCCTCTAAATGATATCATTGTTTGGAGCGGGGAAACTCTCATTCACAACCTGCAACTGTCTTCCAAGCTGTCACAATGAAGAAATCGCTCCTCGAGTTAGATCCAGACGCCGATGCGCTGCTCATCTTGCAGAGTCCCAATTTGCAGCAAGTCCATGCAGTAAAGGAAGTCGATTTGCGGGATATGACAGACAAACCCGAACCGAAAACGGCTGCCTCGACCCCTGCCAAAGGGAAAAAGAAAAGCAAAACATTAACAGACCTCAAGAAGATTAAATCGCTACAACCATATCGGGAGGATGGCAGCCCTAATGAGCTTGAATTTCGGGTATCCATCAAGCATCTCTGCATCGCCTCACCAGTCTTTCGCAAGATGATACAAGGCAACTTCCAGGAATCGCAACCTAACGAAAACGGGCTACTTACAATCAGAACCTCGGATTGGAATACCCAAGCTCTTCTTGTCTTACTTGATATTATACATGGTCACCACCGCCAAGTGCCTAGAGACCCAGATCTCGATACTATAGCGCAAATTGGGTTCCTTGTTGATTACTATGACTGCCTTGAAGTTGTTGAAATTTTCTTTGATCGATGGCAAGCGCATATCAGCGATTGGTGGAAATATGGTTGGATTCGCTTTGACAAAAGTTCAGTAGATCCGTTTGATGAATCTCAGTTATTGATGCTATTTATTGCCTTTACATTTCGAAGCCGAGTGGTCTTCAAGAATCTTACAATTTCCGCAATATTCACAACGTCCGGCCATATTGAGACACATCTACCAATACCAAGCCAGATCCTCGGTACGTACTCTTGCTTGATATACCTCATAGACAAAGTGGTTAATCCCGAGTAGATAAGATTGACCAACAGCGCATCGGACTACTCGATCAAATGTTCACTCAACTATATAACTTGCAAGAAGACCTTTTCGTGGGACGAGTTGGTTGTTCCCTGGAATGTTCATGCAGACTTCTCGGATACCTGATGAAACAGATGCGGGACCAGGCTCTGCCGATGACGAAACCAGAACAACCGTTTCTGGGATTTAGTGTTACTATGGTGGCTGGCTTTATCCGTGGTATCAAGACTCCGTCTTGGTACAGCAAAAAGCAGAACGTGGACTCTTGTAAACTGGAGAAAAGTCTCTCCTTTGGAGAGAAAGAGCCTGAAAAATCGACAGAAGGGATAGACTTAGATGACCTTTGAGTAACGTATTTAAAGTACCCCCGTCAGTCGGTGTGAATATTTTACTTGCCAAGTTATTCTCTTCTTCTGGGTTTAAAATTCTCGCCTAGTAATTGCTACCTACTACTGAGCGAAATTTTTACCGACCCCATACCTATCTCTTAACTTCAAGTTTCGACATCTTCCGTATCTCGCACCAACTCTCCGTCGCACTCATCACACCACCGCCGACTGTATACGACACACCATCATCATGGGAGATAAAGTTAGCCTACGGGGCCGACAGCTGCGGTGGTTCTTTGTCAAACATGTCCGTAATGGCAGTGTCAATCTGTGGAGTTTCACGACCGATGATCCCTACTATATAATAGTATTCTATCCGTTATCCAGAGCAACGATATTTGAGCATTACGATGATCCAGACTGGACTGATAATTACCAGGACATGATCAATGTCCGAACCAAGTGGCGAGGCGCCATGAGGGCAAAGCACGGTGCTTTTCCCAGAGACTCTAAAGAGCAAATCCTCCGCAAGGACACGCATTCACTGCCGGGACCGTCTCCAACTCCTGTGATCGATAAAGACATATCTGTGTACTTTCAGCCCCAAACACCCTCAGAGAAGGAGTCTCTTTATCTCCGCCGCCGTCACACGCTCTACCACACCATAGCGGCGAGGGCTACCCGATGCCGTCACCTCTTGAGGTGGCTCACCTCGCACCTGCATATCCAAGGCTTCTGCAACTAGGCGGCGAGGGTGATATTCCACACCCTTGCTTAGATCTCCCAAACGCCCAAGAAACAGGGTCTCTGCGCCGTGTTGGCCACGGTTTGGAACGTGTGCTTAATAGCATTGGGAAATTTGGGATTGGCGTGGAGGAAATGACCATGGAAGCCTATGAAGTTTGATTTCAAATACCTTGACCTGCCGCTTCCACGCTTCAATGAGCATGGAATGCCCGCAGAAATGGATGAGCACTGGGGCCCTCTACCGCCAGATGGTCCCCCGCCGAAAGAAGCACCCTCGCCCAGAGTCACCGGATGAAGTGGAAGGGAGACCTGCTAAGCGCAGGTGGGTTGTGTGAAGGAAGCGCAGAAAATACACTTTAGGTTTAATATAATAGTAAGTTATTATACTTAAGAATAATACTAACCTGGACTTGTTAAGATTGAGTATTATATTATATATTTAGTAGATATATCTGGATGCTTACTATTTGTATATAGTATAAACTGCATTTCGTATAGTATAGACTCTATTCCGCAACAGTTAGCTGGGCTGCATTAGCTCTCTGTGTAAGCTGTACCCACTGCATTAGTATACAGGGCCAGGATTAGTCAGGCCTCTTGGATACAGAGATGCAGGTATCGTGGGTGTTGATATTGCACACCTGACTCAAGGCCATCAATACCGTGAAACTGGCATTTTACTATCACTAAAGCTTACAAGACGCTTCTAATATGGCTGCCTCATTACGGAATCCCCGCAGCTTCTCGCAGTCTTGTATCTGACGGATTGCTCTGCCCCTCAGCCACGCCCTTCTGCAGCTATCCGTGAACACAGGCCCGAACACAGGCCACACTTTTAAGAAACATTTTTTTCATTTCACAAATTCAAAACTCGCCCATGGTGTCTCGTATCAGCCTTAGCCTCATCCGATCAACTAAACGATTGCCATACCTGTCACCATGTCTTCAGATACAGGCCAAAGGAGTCTGAGGTCACAAGCCCCTTCGCAGCGACCGGAAGCGAGGATCCTCAACCAGCAGAACGCGATAGCAGAAAAGACCGGGACAACAGTTGCAGAGCTGCAGGGGATGTTTTCGACCGCTAAACTTAGGTTCTAGCAGGATCTGAAGAAGCTAGTTGACTCCCATTTGGAAAGACATGGCTGGGTTGCAATTCATGAGGCAATACAAGCTGAAGTGGCTCAGAGACAGCAGGGAGTGTACAGATCGAGCTCAAAAACAGCTGCGTGGATGCCGATCGACGTGAGCAACGCCAAGAAGAGATTAGATGGTGGCGCCGGCGCAGCACTTCCTCTACCCACTCCCCTTCCACCCACCAAGTCTGGTGATCGCCCAGAGGTCCACATTGTGCTCTGTGCTATCGGAGACCCTGAGTCTCAGTCCCTCTATGGTGAGCATGGCGTTCGGTCAATTGACGTCACACCAACGGACGACTTCCAGGGCCTCCTGCTCGACACACTGGACGTTGAGTTCTACGAGAAGCTGGAGGAGGAAGCCGGGGTTGGACTGTGCTATAACACGGGTATCAAAGCCTATGAGGAGGCAGAGGCCAATGGCGAGGAGCTCCCTGAAGGACCAGACACGTCGAGAGTGACCGTCCATGGGATCGTCATCACACTTCTATGGGCACAGTACACTGGCCGCATCACGGTCGAGTTCAAGAGTTGGGAGTGGCTGCAGCAGAAGGTCAAGGAGGGCACGATCGGGGCGTACCTGGGTAACTTCAAACAAGATGCAATTCTCTTCACACACATGAGACGCCCTCACCTGTCAGAAGAGAGCGTCGACCACCAGTTTGATGTTGCAAGCCTCAATGATCAGATTCGGCGGGCAAACCTTGTTTTCCCCAATAATATATCTCGGTACCCAAGTCCGGAAGAGGACGACGCCGACATGTGCCAGCTGCCCGACGCCAGGATCTTGGATGTCATTGCTAGCGATGAGACAACACCGCCCGAGTTCAGGTTCCGCCCCCGGGTTTGCTATTCTCAATCTCGGGACTGCACTATGCGAGGTTACCGGGGTAAGATTATCGTGCGGGGTTCGTCCAGCACAGGACCCGGTGATATACAGATCGGTTTGTCCGACGACCCAAAACTCACTAAGTTGCTTAAGTGTCACACAAACTACAACCACGGCACGGATCACTCTGCAAATATGTACTTCCACCAGGAGCTCAAGGAATCTGTAGCTGATTGGGGAGAGGCCAGTGTCTTTATGGTGGGTGACACAATCTTCTCGATGGCCATGTCCAGGGGCATCTGGACCGACCCTGATGCTCACCATTCCGGCTTCACCGCAGATCGATGTCTCACCAATTGGCATAAGATTAACCGCAGTGCCCAGAACGCCACGAGGGATGAAGCGCGCCGTAAAGAAGGAGAGCTTCGGCGATTCGCAATCTTCCAGCGACAGGAGCTCCTCAAGCGCAAACCTCGGGAGTTTGAGTCGCTCAAGGTCTCAGTGCGGCTAGATATTGGAATCTCGGACGCCACCAAGCATGGCTTGTTCTTCGTGACCAATGTGGCGCGGTGGCCTGGGGCTGACATGCTTAGTGCGTGGCAGGAGGGGTCGCAGCCGTACGACAGTATCTTCGAAGCGGTTGGGACTAAGTTTGCTCTGGAGTGTGGAAGGCTTATGCAGCGTGATGAGTCTGAGGAAGATGAAGGGCGTAAGGGACAGGACGGACATGAAGGGAATCAGGAGCGTGAAGAGGGGAATGACACGAATGAGACTGACTTCTCAGATCCCCCGAGTGGCCTCTTATCTGAGAGTGAGTGAGATTTTGATGATGGCTTTCACAGTGTTTGGACTTGCTTTGCTATATCGGTTTGACGGATTAGATATAGTGGCATGTGACATTATGCAAAATATTGATGATGCAGAAGAGTCTGTTGTGACGATTTAGTTCTTGACTATTTAGATATTGAGAAGCAATTGCGAAATGAGAGGTTGAGTGTAGTACGTGCAGTAGCCAAAGGACATGACTACCAGTACTATTGTGGGGTATAAACAAGCGGTCTATACTGATAAAGGATAGTTTAGACTAGGTTCTCTCTGCCGGAATAAGCTCCTAACCACAAGTCTTAACTGCAAATAACACTTCTAGCCCACCACTTTAACATTAATACTACAATAACTAACCAATAGCTACAGTATAAAGCTGATATTATCAGAACCTAAATCTGGGGTCCTATCAACAAATAGAAGTGTTGCTTGAATACCTGCAAGGCTACGAACTATAAGTCGGGATTATATTACATAAGATATTACAAATATTTCCCATATACCATGATATCTTGCCTTGCATTTTATCTCTTTTATGACTCTTTTGGCCTCTCTGTGAGGCTTAGCTGAAATGAGGCTCCTGTTGTATCTCACTTAAGGTTTTGTGCTGTTTAGTGCTAATGTAACCTTGCAAAATGAATTGATCGAGAATATTCTTCCGTGATTTAGCTTTACTGTCCGTCAGGATGTTACGCCGCGCACGTTCTGACGTCGTTCTGACGTCGTTGTCTCGTTTGTATCCCTGGATCTTCCAGTATTCATAAGTCGCATTTTGACAGACTCTATATTGTTTCCTTGCTGTAGAACTTGAACTTCTATTTTCTTAAAAGCCAAAAGTCTCCCTTCTTTCAGTCCTCATACATTACCTATTGTCCAATTCTAGCTTTCTCTTGTTCAGAAACATTTCTCCTTCGAATCTTGCTGCCCCAGTCCTATGACTGAAGATGGTTCAGCCCCCGAGAGATCCTGATATGGAGAGAGGACTCACTGACGAACAACTCAACGAAGTCTCCCGAAAGCTGGGAGCCTGGAATAATCGAGTCACCCTTCGCATGAGGCTCCTTAAGTATGCGCTTTGGGGCGGTTCGTTCCTTTTTGCCGTCGGCAGTGCAATCTACTACTTCCGCCGCTCGGTACCCTCGGAACTCCCAATGCCGGTAACTGCGATTTCTCAGAACGTATCTAGTACTACAAAGAAATTACTGATTTTATGCACAGCTTTTTCAATCTTGAGAATTGCCAGAATCTCTACTCGGTTGTTGGTCTCAAGGTTAAAGACGTCTTTCGGAACTATACCACGGTAGCAAATGCTCAGATCAAAGAAGCTATTGACAAACTGGCGGCTCTATGTGCTGTAGGTGCTCTTAACAATGTTGGCGAATGGACTAAGTTTCTAAGGCGTCACGGTTGGCCTATGCTTGAATGACTTAAGGATATCCTAGGCAATGATAGACAGCACTATGACGAGCACTTGGCTGCCTATGATGAGCAGTTGGCCTGCGATTGGTAATTTGATGGGAAGTAGCGGGTTGGCAAAATGGAAAAGCTGGGCTATCTTGCCTTTGGGTCTAATTTGTTTTCTTTTGTTTGGTTGTCATATCTCCCGTACCCTCTCCTCTCCTATGTAGTTCCTGAAGCATACGACTGTCTCTCATCAGATGGTTCTACATGCCTTCAATAAGCTGCGCCATCTTGCCGTGGTCTAGATGATCCAAATTGAAATCCGTTCCAGCCTCAGAGCCGCCGGTTTATCGAATCGTTTGCCATACAGCTGGTCTTGTTAGATGATTCTAATAGCTGTGTGTATAGAATACTCACCAAACTCGGAGGTTGCTTCGTCACAGAAGAGCTCAGAAGGGAGGTTCAGGTCTAACAGAGCAAGCCTCTTATTTATCGGCATCTCCTGTGTCGTTCATGCGGCGTGTTTCTCAGATTGTCCTGCGCGCTTTTCCTCATCACAGCGCTTTGCTTCCTTGTCGCTTATGCGGTTCCCCTGCATCCAGTCTCCCGCACTATTAACAGTTGTCAAATTCGCTATGACAGTATTGGTGTTCCACATGTATCGCGGAGTCCCGTGAACCGTGACTGGGATGAACGGCTCTTAGCTGTGGACCTGACGCAGCAGCCATCTTGCTTCATAGGCCGACTTGCCTATACCAAATCATTTCACTCCTCCTAATATATACAGGAGATATCCACCGCGCAGAACGTTCTCGATATCGCGCTTGTATCTCTCTACGAGACCCATATCTGAAAAAACGTTGGATTCGGAGTCCGAATCGAGAATCTTCAGGACAGGTTCACTAACGACATAGCTTCGCACGCATAGCGCAACAAGCAACTTAGGCTTTAGATCATTGCAGAGGAAGAGTCGGAGCATTTCGCCATTGGGCCTCCTCAACACCGCTCAGTTCCGTCTTCACTGTCATGAGCAGAGGTCGCAGCAAAGACTTTACTTAAATGCAGTCAAAGCTAGATGCATACATATTCTTCTTATCATTCACTATTCAGCTCTCAAAACATAGGCTTGTGTAACAAGTATTACGTGTCGAAAGTTCTGGCCTTTGGAAGCTTTGAATTGCCTCTATCGTTACCTTCACCTTTCCTTGCCCTTGAGTAACTCCACAGACATGCATCAAAAAACTCAAAGGAAGCTGTATTCACCGCGGTCTCCGTCTTTATACTGTAGTAAGAAGAATGCAGGCTTTAAAAATCTCAAAGGAAGCTCAATTCACCGCAACTTCATTCTTTATCCTGTAATAATACGAATGCAGACTCGCAGCAAAGAGAGCTGCATCTACATGCAGCAAGTTCATCAAAGGTCTTTGTCGCCAGATGGATTTAAATGCCCTATCGCGCCAGTACTTCGAACCCTGATCTTTTCAACTCAATCTCAACTTCAAATCACTTTCTACACCAGATAAACATCCTGCTACTTTCCACTACATCTGACACTTCTCATCACAGGCATCATGTCCGATCTCCTGAAGGACCCCGTCTTCTTCAGTCTGACTCCAGACAACTATCGTCGAGCAGGTCAGTACCCGTTTCAATACTGTTTATGGTATTACTAACAATCTGGGTTTAGCTGTAATGGATCCTGAGTCGCCGGTCTCCCCGCTGTCTGTTGAGGCTCCTCCGCTTTCCAACTTCAACACCCTTGACGGCCAGGAGCCTACTGCGACCAAGACCTTCTCGGACCTATCTCCTAGCTTCAAGAAATGCATTCTTGCCTACGTAAGAGATTCACAGTCGTCCCTCGCCAGCGAATCGCCCAGTCCCCCTGGATACTGGCCGAGTCACTATGCTCTTTGTGACGGCAAAGATTCACAAGATCCTTCGCTCATCCAAGAAGAAGACAACTTTCCACCATCTCCTTCTTCAGACAGAGTCTTCACCAACTCGGTCATTAGACAAGTCCTTGGAACTCGAACGATCCATCAAATAGGAAAATGTGAGTATCTTGTTCATTGGGCAGGATATCCGAGAGGTCAACTCTCGTGGGTTTCACGCGACATCATTCAACCTATCGCCGAGCACCAGATCATGTTCTTTGAGTATGAGCGTCGCTTGCTATGCTACAAGGGGTCACGCGGTGAAATTTTCACTCGAAAGGACGCGCCTCAGTTTGAGGAGGCTGATGAGGAGGGTTGTGTCGGATGTGCGCGATGCGGCCGTGGGTGCAACTGAGGTGATGGGGGCAGTGTCATGACAGATAGATTTGTTGTTTTTGCTTCTGATCAAGATCCACATTTTAATTCATGAGTTGGCGTCTCTTCTTGACCTTCCGTAGTTCCCAGTCCACGTCCTTCAGAAACTCCCTACTATTATTGGACGTAATGAAATGATCCGCCGCATACTGCTCTGGCCACTCATCCAGCGAACAAGTGCTGTCATCATGCGAGCCCCTCCGTTTCTGCCCTCGCCCATCCACCAAATCCACTAAATGAAGTGTATGTAGCAAGTCACCGGTCGTCGAACCCTCTCTTTGTTGGTTCTGATCGGGATAGTTCGGTCTTGATCTCTTAGTCGGGTCGCCTGCCCTTCCATTGCTTAGGTCTTCCGAGGTCGGTGTTGCAGGCAAGTCGGTTTTCGTGGTAAGCGGCGTCGCCATGCCTGAAGTCATCCTACTTGCAGTAGGCGAGATTACATCGAGGATCGGTCGTTCAGCGGCCATATTTTCAATGCATGACATTTCGTAGTGGTGGCGTAGGGCCTTTCGATCAATGGTATTAGGTACTGAAGCTCTTTGGCCGTTGAATCTCGTCAGAGCATTATATGGCACAAAAACTCGGATACGGAGTGTGCGAGGATGGATAGAGAAGAGTCGTGCGTCGAAAAAATCATGAAGGTGCTTCATAAGGAGGATGCCGTTCCTGGGGCTCCATGTGCTTTGCCATGCTTCTTTCAGCCTGCGAAGACTCGATTCAAGAGGCACATCGTCGTCTGCATCGCCGCCGGCGACGGGATATACATGGTAATGGTGCTGGGGGATGATATGGCAAGCCTGAATGCCGGGACCGATGGGAGGACCTGGACACCATGACTCTCCTTCACCCGACACAGCACATGACGTTGCTCTATTGAGGCACGAGGATCTGAATTCGTTGGTGACTTTTCTAGCCTCATCAAGGTCGATTTTCATGCTCGCAGGTGCAACTACATTCTCGAACTCGTCATCGACTTCTTTCGTGGGTGAAGTAGACCCCGATGCTGATCGCTTGCTCGGAGACACGGAGCGAGCTTTGAGCTTTTTCCGCAGGGGCATGACTGCGAGTTTGGGATCGGAAGGTGTTTTATTCGGCGGCAGGTATCGTTGGTCATGACGACGACTAGGACTCGAGAGATGTCTGGCGCATTGCGCTGGGTAGAAAGTTAGTAAAATTAAGTGGCGAGAGAGAGAGAGCATGGATGCACTGTATAGCTAACCTTGGATGTGAGACTCGAGTTGTGAACCAGGAGGTAGAGTGCAGTTCTTATGATAGTATATATGATAGGTTAAGACGTTTTGTTCTTTAGGTCGCAAAGGTGCTAGACTTGGTACACCTCGGTCCAATTTTGCCTCTGTAACGAAAGACAAGTCGGGATCTAATGAACTCGGGGAGTCTTGGTTCAATGAAAAGGCAATGCTAGTCCAGGGTTCCTCGTTCTCGTTATCCGAAGTGTCATATGGGCATTCGAAGCAAAGCCGTAGCTCGTCGCAAACGTTGCGAAAGGTCACCAAATCGCTCCCCGGAACTTGGTAGATTCCGGCAAAGGCGCCGGGGTCCTCATCTTGGCCGATAGTAAAGTGGACATTCCAAGCAACAGCACGCATTGAAGGCGTGACGGTCGCGTTGGACATGGTTTCGTTGCGTTCGATAGTGCAGGGTTGTATGGTTACTGAGTGTTGATGTTGGATGGGAAGTGGAAATGAAAATAATGGCGATCGTGGCTCTGCGTGTTGGCCGAGCGACAGCATGAGTCAGCAACCGCCCACCAACCACCAAGCTAGACAGTCGAGCGAGCCAAACCGATACCTGCAAATCCATGTAATAAAAGAAAAAAGAATTATACTAATCGCTATAATGACTTCCTCTAATAACCGCAATAAATACCTTAATCTCTGTGCAGGACATGGCTATCTTGAAGTATTGACACAGTGCCCTTACAGTAAAAAGACTGTATTTACACTATCCCTTAAATAACGAGAGAGCACCAGTAAAGTACTTCTGTGGGGTATAGCCAATCAGGGTACTAATATCAAAGACACTTCTATTCAGGTGTTAATTACACCTAGATCTAGGTATCTCTAATACTGCAAGCTGTAGATCGTGACTTTAATTTCTACTGCTGTGCCTCCTTAAGGCTTATACCTTGTGGCGTAAAGATTAACAGCCAATTAATACTGGGGCAAGCCCCATAAAAATACTTTGCTGGTGCTCCCTCGTTATCTAAGGGATACTCACGCTGCATGCATGCTTTCCAAGATGTTGTCACCTCCTGTTACTTATGGAATCTTATAGCACTTTATTCAGGGGCCAGCCTTTTGATTCGATCCGTATTTTTCCAGAGCCTGGCGGGCTAACCCAATCATGCATTCACCGTTCTAGTTTAAACTGCACTTCAGCAGTATGCACTAAACTTCAGTAATTTAAACAACGCAGATATCGTTAAGACTAGTGGGGTTCATGTGAGCAACCCTGCATGACTCTAACAAAGACCTATGTTCACTTGGCAAATGATTCTCACGGTAAGTCATTCTACAGTTTAGAACCTCTCTGCAGCTTCCATTCTTTAAAAAGTGTTGCAGTACGAATAGCGCTTCAACTCGACCGAGATGTCGATCCTTTTGTAGTCCCCCACAATTAAAGGGGCCATTCTCAATTGCATCACACGTACATCTGTGACATACGAAAGTTACCTCATTAGAGAGAACTTTATACATATCATGAAGGACGACCGATTCCGCCTGTTCGCCATCAACGCACATGCAACCGCCGGTAGTTTCTAAGTACACCAACGCAGCTAGATCATGCGCACTCTGGAGATACCGGGCATGAAGGAGAGGGAGTTGGAGAAAGTTCAAAAGGAATATATCGCATGAGGAGCCTCATCTATTAGAGTTCAGTATGAAGGGCTCGTAATAGACGTGAACCATACATTCATCTAATACTCGGCGTAAAACTAAACTAACAGTCCAAACCCTTTGCCAGGTTAAGACTCCAAACACCAATCCCTGGTCTGTGTTTACCATTTTCCGTTGAGATACAATTGCTAACTGTTAATCAATTAACAACTAGCTGTAACATGAAGCGCGGGAGCCCACTTACGTTCTGGAAGCGAAAACACCACCTATCCAGGTCCTGACTCTCTTCGCAAGAGGTATAGTTGTTTCATCGTCGTCCATCGCTCGCTTCCGTGTTGCAGCTTGGTTCTCATTGGCGGCAGCCCCTTTTTCGGGAACCTCAGGACGAACGAGCTCTTCATTCTCATAGTTGTCGTCTGTGACTGTCTTGTGTGAGGTCTTCTTCGGGGCCTCAATACAAGCAACAGGTTCTTCCACGTTGCTGTCCCCGATCGCAGTGCTGCTAGTTCCATCAACATTCATCTCTTGGTAAGTATCGCAAGAGCTTGCAGGAAACAACGTGGCCAGGTTATGACGTCTTATTTCATCCATCGTTTCTTGGAGGTGGATTGCCAAGTCAGACTTCGGGTCAAGCTTCCAAATGGTCTGCTGCATAATAGTGCGTAGAAGTATAAGTTGGCGCTCATCTTCAGACTTTCTTCGTTCAGGAGATAGGGCAGCTGCGGCCTCTTGAGCCTTGGTCTTAGTAGAGGGTCGGTAAAGGGAGCCCATGGTCGCGATGGGAGAAGTCGATGTTGGAGAAAGTTGTGAGTTGGGAAATGAAAGAAGAGAAAAGACTCTTCTATACTTAGCATGTCAAAGGTGAATGTTATCTGCTGTGCAATCAGTTGTAGGCGTGACATATGGTATAAAGACGAGAGTTTCTTTAGCGTGCCTTTGGTTGACTTCCTTTCATGCAAGACGTCAACAGCATGTAATGAATCCACCAGGTGCAGCACAAGTGCAGTATGAAGAGAACAAGATTCGGCTCGTTCAATTGAACAGATATTGTATCTAGTTTTACTTAATATTAGGTATGTTGTTTTCTTTATAAGATGCTAGTATCGCTTACCTTAATAATGCCAATTTATAGTGTATCTAAAAAAATAAAACTTATAAAATTCCCTTTCCTTGATTATCCCCTCCGCGCGGTCGGACTTACTTTACGTGAAAGCCGTCTACATTAATCTGAGAAAATGGGTCCAAAAGGGTGGAAACCATCAACCAGCATATCAGGCCGCCTTTCTTCTACATGTCGTGTGAATTCAATAAGACCTATGCATATAAACGCTCCAAGCCATGTCGACCGCAATGATGACGCCCTGATGCTGACAGGCTTCTATCCCAGCTGAGGCAGATACCTCCGTCTAGCTTGACCTAGTGGTCCCTTTCCTGTGCTTTGTCCCTGACGGTGACGGGCGTTGACAGGGCAGATGGTGCTCTCCGTCTCATTGTAATTGGTGTAATCTCAGTAATCGATATCAGCTTCAGTTGAATGCGCTACTATCTCGCCATGTTCGTTTAGAACCAACTTCTGCAGTAAAACTGACAATGTTGAAAACGTTGCGCTTTGACTCTTTCAGAAGCTCTGCACTCTCTGATTGGTCAGCCCGAAGCTTAATCTGACCGCCACGTTCAGTTCAAGCCAACAAGGCGGCTTCTAGAATTCGTTATCGATCATCTGTGGTTCTTCACAAAAGCCAAAAAGCTTTTTCTAGAGCTGAAGCGATTGTATTTCGCTAGAACAACCAGTGAACAAAGAGTTTTCTCTCATACAACCTGGTCTGGGGTTCTAAATTAGTTTGGTGCAGTAGGGTAGATGTCGGCGAAGTCCGATGGCCGCAGAAGAGACGATGTATCACATTCGAGATGTCAGAGCGACCTGTGGTTCTGAAAGGCACCAGAAGCAGAGACACAAGCGAGCTATGTACTAGATAGTCCATGAGCCGCTACGGGGCTGGCGTGAGAATGGAAGCAGGATCTGGGCATAGCCAGGCCTGTTAGTTCAAGCTAGATGTTGTGAACGAAGATACAGCATTGGAAACAAGCAACTGGAGGGAAAGGCTGGAATCCCCTTCCTCAATTCACCGGGATGAAGTATCTTCAACGTCTTGGCGCAGAACAAAGAAGCAATATTCACAGCGACTAGCGGCAACAAGCCTGCAAGCCGCCTTCCAATCTAGCCTGCATTTGATAGACAACAGGGTTTATTTCTGTGATCTCTTTGTTAGTCTCTGTAACAGTTAAGTAGGACTTCAAGAAGCGAGGTTTTAGTGCAGATTCCTTGACAACCTATAAGCCTTGATGTGAAGAAAGTTCACCAGAGTCTCTCTTTTCTCTTCTTCTCATCGCCGCCATTCTCACGAAACGACAGCGGCCACAAACATGCACACCTACGTTGAGGCCCAGTGGCCACAAGTCTTTAGTAGGGAGGAATGGCAATAACAGTCCGGTAAGTACGAAAGACTGCACAGGAGCTATTGCCTGACACAAGATACAGTCAATATGTTGACTTCCTACCGAGAGCTGGAGATCTTCCAACCCGTTCCCGAACTCACACATCAACAAGTGACCAAGAAGCGGAAGCGGAGTAGAGCCAAACCTGGCCGCCAGCACGAAAATGACGTTCCCCAGCCATTCAAAATGTATCAGCGTCGTGGATTATATACAGTTACACTGACTAACGCCCGACGAATCTATTGACGCAAAGGTCTGAACCTGTCTGCAAGAATCTCTTTTTACTAATTATTGATATGTTCCAATAGTCTTTCCTGGGGAACCCAGACTCGAGTAGCTGTCGCTGGCTAGCAGCTACCAGCTCGGTGGAGTGGCATGGAAAGTGAGAGATTGAAATCCCCAGCCATGAACCGGGATATCCGCCAGAGGGAGAAAGAAGGGAAAGTAGAGCAAGGAGGAACAAGAAACGAAAAAAAGAAAAAAGGAAATCAGGCTGTCAATCGTCTTAACACCAAAACAGCAGTCTGTCCTCCTTGAAGGCGTATAACTGTTGAGACTACGGGAGAGAATACATGTCAGGGGCCCGCCTGCGGATGAAGCACGAGAGGGCAACATTCTGTTTGTATAGAGAGGGTCTGTTTTGGGTTGCTGTCAGACTGTTGCAATAGACGTTAGTTGATGGAATACTATCAGTGGTAGATACCAAATCAATGTAAAGGATTCTTTAGACCTCTTGAAATGTCTGTTGCTGCAAGTGATTTGATTTTCCTCAATTCAAGCTCACTGTGAGTGAGTACCTTTGCATTGGGTCCAACAGTATAGACTGCTGTGCCATTCCGGTGGGATATCCTTAAGATTCTCACCGCTCAGGGGAAAACCCTTGTCAGGGATATAGTCCAGTCACCTGCCACACAATAACCGCAGACCAAAGGGACAAGTTTAGAAGAAGAAACCTATCAAATTGGGTTGAGCATGGTGATTTAGGTGACATTCAAGCATATAATCGTAGCTGGCTGGCGCTTTGAACCTGAAACAGATATGATTGACATCTGGAGCGGGAGGGCGAATCGGATTTCCAACGGACAAGCCTCTCGGAGTATTGGCTTGTCTCCATCGTAAACCTGCCTCACTCATCACAAGATTCTCTTGTCATGAACAGTGGTGACGATAACGTTACCAAAGCAAGTCTGGGCTGCACACCCCGATATAAACATCAAGTATATACCGCTAAGATAATACAACAACGAAGTTGAGGGACAACCAATTCCAAGATTGCTGAGGATGTCTCTGGCAATATTTATCCACTAATTCACCTGCCATGTGAATCACGCCTGTATCGCGGAGTGGAAGCCAAACCAGCGGGGTAGTACAATGGACAAAATAGGGAGTTACCAGCTACATGAAAAGCAAGCAATGGTTGATTGGAGGCGTACAGGACAGCCAAGGCGAGAATGCTTAGATAGTAATCTCAAGGCTAGTGGTTCATACCGCATGTCACAGCGAGTTTTGAGGGAGAGCTGCCATGAAAGTCGGGATGATAGCATACTGCGATTTGCTTGGCGGTTTCTTTCAACAACTTTATGTGTTGGAAATTTGCATCTGGGTCCTAGAAAAAAGCTAAAAACTGTCAGTATCTCGGAATCTTCTTCTTTGGGTAAACGCACTCTAGCCAATTCCACCAATAACATATCGCGGTACCCAGGTCCTGAAGAGGACGACGCCGACTCGAAACGACACGACCAGTAGTACTATCATGGGGTATAAACAATCAGTTTATACTGACAAACGATAGTTTAGACTACTTCCAGAAAACCAGAATCTAGCAGTCATAGAAGCAGCTGGAGAAGACAGTATGTTATATCTCAATGGTATAGCCCCGGCGTCTTTGCAGAAAGAATAAACAGACTTAAGTGCTGGGTGGGCGACTTTCGGTGTGGTGAGTAGGGAGGAGGCGATTCAAGCGCATCTGAACTGAGTAGCGAGTAACCCCATTTCTCTCGCCATTGGCGTACTCGCTCGTATGACCGACCGAGCTCGAGGGTAAGCTTTTGATCCGTCCCAATCACTTCTCGTACTAGCTTCAGGGCAGATTGAAACTCAGCCATTGTGGGTGACGATTGCTCCCATGCTGATTGAGGCGGAGAGGAGGAAGGTAGTGGGTCGGTTTCTGGCACTGTTATAGGGATTTTGACTCGCTGCTACCGTCTTCCTTGGGTTAGAAAGTCATTCGAAAGGTGTATCTCGTAATCGAAACGGAGCTCCCGTGGTGTCTCATGAAGCCCTTGCGATCCATGGGGCTGCGGAGCGGTTGAAAAGGTCTGTGGATAAGATGCGAAGAGATTTTCGAGTATATCTTCGGCGCCGACTTCGTAATATTGGCTGATACTTGTTCCAATGCTGCGCGCTGAGCGAGGTCTGTTGGCAAGTCATGGCGGGCTGAACCTGGATTTTCGGCTCTGCCGTCGTCGTTTTCGGGCGTGCAATTGATAGCTAGGACTAGGACTGCGAGTTCACCATCTCGGATTGTTCTCTGAGCTGGAAGGAGTCTCAGATGGGGACGTGGTGAAGGTTATAACCATCGAGTGTTGAGAGACACAGGAGTGGATAGCTTCCTGATGGAGAGAAAGCTTGATGGCGTCGCATTGGTTACCAAGGTAGGATCAAGGACGAGCTAAGCCCGAGGTGTCGGATACGAGGGCAGTAAGTTAAGATGAATGATGATTTCAGAATGAAGAACAGATTATTGATTGATCCATTCCTGTTCCCTTGTCTTCTTTGCCCTCATTATATTTGACGAGGAGAGGCTACAATACAAGACCTGCTGAACCTGCAACAAATCTGTAACAGTTGTGGTGCACTCGTGTGACAATGTGGGAGAGGTATATGTAACATGAGGTACTTAGGAAGCTCTGACGGAATTCTGCCGACAATAACAAAAACTAAATTGACGAATCAAGTGTTACAAAAAGTCATGCCCCCCTATCGATTGCCATTACAAAATAGCCAAGCTATCTAAAGCCAGAAAGTTCCTTTCTGCTTAGCTTTTCCACTAATGATTGCCTGATATGGTACTGGGCCTCCAGACAGTCCCCTTCCAGCAACGACAATCTTACCCGAAATCGCGCCAGTTCTCCCAAACACCAGATTGAAGCCTCCAGTAGCCGGGGTATATATATTTGCAGTCAACCCACTCCGTGCATTAAAAACAGAAACCTGGTTTGCAGGAGCAACAGATGGATCAACACTAACTGTTACCGCGTTGGATGTGGCAGAGA